ATAGCGCCATATCCTAACTACACCATCACTGGTTTTCTGAGATGAGTGAGAGTAAGGCTGGGAGCTGAGCTACTCACCTAATTCCACAGTTTGAGGAGTGGATTCTGTAACATCGTGCCAGCATTCTCTCTCCGTGTGGGTCACACCACTCCAAGTCCCTGTTTCCAACCCTGGAGTGATTTCTAAAGCTCTGCACTGACAAACTCCATGGTGATACAAACAGTGAAAGAGTCAGGGCTTGCAGACTCTACAGACTCCTGCCTTGACACCACATCTCCAAAATTAGCAGTTGCGATACTGACCAGAATTGATCATCTCTGAAAAAGCAAACCCACTTCCTCTTGCAACCCACAATGTACAGACAGTGTGACTGGGAAACCAATTGCTAAGCTCCACTTCTTCCTTCAACCAAACAGCTCAGAAACATCAGGTGCATTTCTGTGACTATTTCTTTTATGACATCAAGGAGGAACACATTTGGAGAAGTTAATAACCTGGACGTGAACTTGATGCACAGTGATAATGTAATTTCATTTTGAAACTGACAGCTTTTACAACCTCAATCTGTCTCCTTCCTCCATGGAACTCACTTTTGCTTTCCCTGTCCTCAATTCCAATGCAAATTACTCCTATAATCCTGTCAAATCCACTCAATGCAGGAGACGAATGGCCATATGCAGCCCTTTAAGGCCTGGCACTTGAAGCTCAAGCAACTCAGTTCATCATTCCTTCCTATCTTCTATTTTCTAGCTCGCTTAAGATTCCTAATCTGTCAAGAATTGCAAGACCATCCTGGACACTGCTGAGAGCAACTGGTGAGAGATTTGGGTGGGTGGGGGTTGGAATCATGGGCAATTAGGAATTACCAGAAATCTCCTGGAATACATTCCACCAGAGTTGTCTTCCTCAGCCAACGCTGTTTGCATTTGAGAGCCAGCAGGGGATATCCTCAGTGCTGTTGTTTTATTGACAAACCCCCAAATCAGAAGACCAAGATTAGCCAGCATCAGAAAGCTGATGGTAAGATTAAGGTTATATCAACATCAATCAATGGACAATTTGGATGAAGTTTACAGACTGAGTGATCAATCCACAATATCATCTGGCTTCTCTATCTTTCAAGGTCTCCACCCAAAATCATGCTCCTCTACACATCAAAAAAGGTCCTTTTCAAAAGAAAAATTTGTTCTTAAATGGTTTGTGAACAATTTGCCTACAGTTTTCACTGTTTACTTTAAATATATTTTGAAAAGATATAAAAATCCTAAAAATCTTCCTAAAAATCCATCTTATATGACAGTGAATTGGCCCAAGTTTATTACACTAGTCACAAAAGTTAGGTTTGAATCACTCAGTTAACATCATCCAAGTCACAATTTCTTGCTGAGGCATCGCATACTCAACCTAGTCAAACTGAAGTTATCCAGGAAAGAAAAATCAAAAGCCTGCTTTAACTTCTGTTACAAATAACCTGAACTCTAACTCACTACTGCCAGATCTGCCCTAAACAATTGTCCATGTACCGAGCACTACACCCCGTCCAATTTGAGCACAAAACTGATCAAGAGGTAAGTGTGTTTTTTTTTGTCTTACTGATTTGGAAATAGTGTGACACTAATTGGAAACTCTGCACTAGCATCAAACAGCATGATGTAAACAGGCGAGCCCACAAAGCTCCAAATTCAAAAATCACTTTTAGCCACAAACAAGGGCACCCAGGGTGTTTGCGTGCCAACACAGAGCAGACAGTGGTCAGCAAGAATAAATAACATCCATCCAATTCAGTTCTGAAATATATCTTGTTACAAACAACAATTTAACATATCAAGTTACTGAACAGAATTAAATAAAACGGATGGAACAAGATTGTGCGCAGGACAGAGAACGCATAGCCCATGCCAGTCCTCATGACAGGGAGGGGTCTTGATTGTTGGTACCTGGTCAGGTCAAAGCCAGGACCTATTCCTCCAAAACTGGTCTGCAGCTCCCCATCAGCTTCATGTTCCGCCTACTATTGTGACTGTCACTATACAGAGTGAACCGAGGCCACAGCCCCTGCCTTCCTGACCACTGGCAAAATCATGGAAGCAGCCAGCATCATGGCCCACGACAAGATGACCCACATCATCCCATCACCTCCAACTCACCATCCATAACGGGGAGTTCCACAAAGCTGCTGGGAGGACTCACCGAATTGTAGGGTGGACTCCTACTCAACATCCAGGCTGTACTCAGAGATAGTAACAACTGCAGATACTGGAGTCAGAGTCAACACAGCGTGGAGCTGGAGGAACACAGCAGGTCAGGCAGCTTCAGGGGAGCAGGAAAGTCAACATTTCAGGTTTACACCAATCCCCACTAACTCTTACCTGCTCCCACCTATCACCATCCTACTTACCTTCCCCCAGCCCCACCCACCCTCTATTTATTTCCCAGCTCCCTTCCCTCTCCCCAGTCCTGATGAAGGGTCCCAACCTAAAACATCGACTTTCTTGGTCATCTGATATTGCCTGACCTGTTGTGTTCCTCCAGCTCCACACTGTATTGACTCGGACTCCAACTGACTCTGCAGTTCTTGCTAGCTCCTTCATCGTAACCTTCTTGCTCTTGTATTAAATGCCTTGACTAACAAAGACAAGTATCCCATGTGACTTCTTAACCACTAAAATAAAATAAAACCTAATAAAACTTCAAATCTGAAGTTCACTGGATTAGAAACAGTAATGCTGCTTTCTCTCGACAGATGCTGCTGGACCTGCTGAGCAGTTTCTGTTTTTGTCTCCTTAACCACTTTTCCTATCTGTCCTGCTGGTTTCAAGGATCAACAGACATGCACACCAAGGCCCCTCAGATCCTCTGTATTTCTTAAAGTCCTACCTCTCAATGTAGACTCCCTTGCCTTGTGTGTACTCCCAAAATGCATTACCTCACATTTCAGAATTAAATTCCATTTGCCACTGTTCAGCTCATCTGACCAGCCTGTCTATATTATACTATAGTCTGAAGTGATCCTCCTTATTGCTTACCATACCAAACACAGGCAGTTGTACAATCATTGTTTTGACAATACTGTACGTTGCAGGATTCCACAAACAGCATGGGCATTTTTTCTTTCACATCATCCAAGATCACAAACAATCCTTCAAACTGGGTTGGAAGGACTATTGTTCTGAACTTTTTATTTCTCTTTTTTCCAACTTATTCCTACAATCTGCAATGCTTGACCTTCTAATTCTTTATTTTTCTTTTTTATCCCCTCTTAAGAACTTGTACTGAGGAATCTGGACCTAGGTCCTTTGTACCTAAGATGGTGCCATAAGTGGAGAGTTGTAAAGTTTTCACTGTACTCATTTGAGGATGTGACAATAAAGCTAATTCAATTCAATTCAAAGTGAATCAGCGACTTACACACACTGCTTTCAGTTCAGTGTGCTGTATTTGATGTTCATGATGTGGTCTCTTCTATATTGCAGAGAACAAATGCAGTCTGGGTGATCACTTTGTGAAACACCTCCATTCAGTGAACATGCATGATTCCGAGCTTTAACTTCCCACTTGGATTCTCCTCCTCTCTGCTCCCACACTGACTTCCCTATCCTTGCCTGCTATAGCTTTCCAATCAAGCCCAACACAACCGGGGAACACAGCCTCTCTGGACTCAGCACTCCACAGCCTTCTGGGTTCAATACTGAGTTCAACAATTTTAAAATATGAACTGTCCCTCCATTTCATTTCTTTTCATGTTTATTTTTCATTAGTTCAGCTTTCATTTGCTTCTTTTTTTTTCGAAAATCACTATCCAGCCATTCAACCTCATCTGGAAATATTTTATTTCTTGACATGTTCCATCACCACTCTCTTTAGCTTCTATACATCAAATGTCATTCAATTTTCAGCTGCTCACCAGCCTATCCTTTAGTTCTTTTGTTCCACCATCCACTCCTACACCCCACACCCAGCCCCTTCCACTTACTCAAAACTTAAAATAAAATAAAAATAAAATAAGGGCCTCAGCACCCTCTTCCCTGTCCTTTATCCACTCACACACCCAGGCCTTGTCTTCACATGGGCTACTTCCAACCCATTTTCACCTCATAGTCCACATTATCAGCCTTTCTCCTTCGCTGGCTTACCATTATCCATTCTTTTGTTTGGCTAACTGCCTTTCTCTTCCTCTGAGCTCAATCTCTACCTTTACCCCACCCCCTGCCTTCACCATATCGACCATCTTTTCCTAGCTGCTACTAGTTCTGATGAAGGGTCACCGAGCCAGAAATGTTTGCTTTTTGTCCATAAATGTTGCTAGACTTGCTCAGTTTCTCATGCAATATCTGATTTTGTTTCTATTCCATTTCTAACAAAAAAAAGTTGGAAACCTTAATGTTATCTTTTCACAGATGCTGTCAGAAGTATTGAATGTTCCTTATTTTTGTCTTTTTTTAAAAGAATAGCATGGGGAAGGTTAATAACAGTGGATGAATGGTACTTATTTCAATATAAATAATACATGGGGGTACACAAATATCCATTGTGCATTGTTTACAGTATTGTTAAAACAATTATTGTACAACTGCCTGGAAATAAAACCGTAATTACATTTGTGACACTTAATTCAAACTACTTCCACAACAGTGATACTCCACTCCAATGTTGCGATGTTCAAAAATTATTTTCAAAAACACCTCCAAAAAAAGGACAAATCAAGAATTCTTTTAAAATATTCCACCCTCCCCAAGTATTTTTCCCCGTGGGAAACTTAACAGGAATTACCATTAGTGTTCTGAGGGTCCCACTTTTTAAATGTTTAACAGAATGGGTCTACACTGACTAGGCCTGCATTTGTTACCCATCCCTAATTGCCCTTGAGTTGGTGTTAACGAGCCACCTTTCCAGTCCATGGCTTTTAAATGAGCAGAGGATAAAGGTCCAAGATTATTGATGTGTCCAAGGATACAGACTGGCTCTACAGGCGCACACACACAGGGAGCCTGGATTCTTACCTGAAGCAGGCATTGTGCCAGTCTGTATTTAGGGCCTGGAGATACTGACCATCATAGATAGAGCGCCCACATCCTGCACAGCATGGAAAACATCCTCCTGCAAACCAAAACCAAATGTTAGCACACACTTCAGCAACTGCACACAGCCCAATATCGAGCACATCATTGCTGCATCCAGACAGGCCGGTGACACACAGAATAACTCAATACAACGCAGGGCCCATACCAACTGCAGGCACAGAGACACACAAAGCACAATACAAGCGAATACAGCCCAGCAAGGCCTGCATCCTGCAGCCAGACAATACAGCACAGAGCCCACTAAAACTTACAGCCAGAGAGAAAAAAAAATACAAACAGCATGAACTTGGCGGAATATAGTAAAATGCAGTTTCCAACCAACTCGAATGATAACATGCAATTGAATCGAGCTCGGGACAATGAAGTCCTTAATTAAAACCAGGCAGAAGTGCTGCAGTGTCTGGTACAACCCACCCTCCTCCTCTCCCATCCGATCGTCCCTCCAGGTACAGCACAGCAGCATCAACCACATCCAGACCCGACAGCCTGCCTCCCGTGAAGCCGAGTGTGTGGAACCAGCTCCAAATGAACATCCAACCACTACAGCTCTCTGTACTCCCTCCCTCAGACTCAGACAGACACCGAGTGAGACAGACGCAGGTTGGCCAACTGGCAGCTGATCCTGAGACCTGATGAAAGGATCACTGCAAACTACACAGCAATGCAACTCCTGCAACACAGCCGCCTCTCTCTCTTTCTCCCTCATACACTCTCTCCCTCACTCACTCACACACACACACACACACACACCCTCAGAGACAGATGAGAACGTTGTAACCCTATGCATCATTGTGCACCATACAACCCCCCTAATGATCAGCTTTCACATTAGAATTGCATCCTGTCGGCTTTCTTTTTTATTTCAAAGTATTAAAACTCACAAAGAGTCTTTTTGGTTCATCATCTGGCACTATGACAGTGTATAATTGGCACAGAAATTACCTTTACTCAGTCACTTCAGTGAGGAACCACAAATATTTCTCTCAATCTGTTGAAAGGTATATGTCATGTGAATGGTATTTGAGCTCCATGTCTGATTGGCTTATGGAATGAATGAGAAACTTTGATGCAGCCAGTAGCCCCTGAATTTGTTCAGTTGCTGCTGTTTTGGGGGAAGATATTAACATTGGCATGACACACAACAGGTCAGACTTGAGAGGTATGGACACTGTATTTGCAAGACCTCGTGCACATCACCAAATTAAAGACTACACTGTGTTTAATTGGTTGTTGCAGGAACTCCTTATCACCCAGTTATTAGAATTTATTAAATAAATTATCATTCTCAACACAAGACTTCACCCCCATCTGTTTAATGTGTTCTCTGAAGTATTTAACCATGGTTTGGCAGTTACCCATAATTGCTTCATTGTTACATGTGCAGGAAGATGGGATTAGAAAGGGCAGCTAGGTCTCTTTGGGGTAGCATGGGCAAGATGGGTTAAATGGCTGTCTTCTCTACGGTATCATTTCTATGGTTTTAAGTCATTTCTGTCCTTGCACAGTCTAAACCTTTTTGGTCATCTGCATTTTTGGTATGTTTTATGTTTTAATAAACCCATTACTCTTTGTTAACCAAAGAAACCTGGCAAATTGTTTCTGAAGTTAATCCAAATGGAGTCTACATGGCCTCCATGATGAACTACACCACTACTGATATTTATCATGCCCAGTGGATGAGTGTAATTACGGAGGAATAGGTACATCTTTCCAAGCTCAGTTGGAACAAATATTTGGGGACCTACTTCCAGCATTGAATCTATTGCGTTTAAAAAAAAAGTGTCATTGGAGTTGCGGTCAATAAATTATGTAAAAGTACTAGCATGAGTTTCCTATATATATTAGTGTAAAATTGTGCTAACATAGGAGGTATAGTTAGTAAGTTTGCAGATGAGGCTAAAATTGGGGTGTAGTGGACAGTGATGAAGGTTACCTCAGAGTACAGCAGGACCTTGATCAGATTGGCCAATGGGCCGAGGAGTAGCAGATGGTGTTTTATTTAGATAAACGTGAGGTGCTACATTTTGGAAAGGCAAATCAGGGCAGGACTGATACACTTAATGGTATGGTCCTGGGAAGTGTTGCTGAAAAAAGAGGCCTTGGTCAGCAGGTTCATTGTTCCCTGAAAGTGGAATTGCAGGTAGACAGGATAGTGAAGAAAGCATTTGGTATGCTTGCCTCTATTGGCCAGTGCACTGAGTGTAGGAGTTGGGAGGTCATGTTGCAGCTGTACAAGACATTGGTTAGGTTACTTTTGGAATACTGTGTGCAATTCTGGGCACCCTGCTATAGGAAGGATGTTGTGAAACTAGAAAGGGTTCAGAAAAGATTTGCAAGTATGTTGCTGGGGTTGGAGTATTTGAGGTATAGGGAGAGGCTGAATAGGCTGGGGCTATTTTCCCTGGAGTGTCGGAGGCTGAGGGGTGACCTGAGAGGTTTATAAAATCATGAGTGGTGTGGATGGGGTAAATAGACAAGGTCTTTTCCCCCAGGGTGGAGGAGTCCAAAACTGGAGGGCATAGGTTTAAGGTGAGAAGGGAAAGGTATAAAAGGGACCAAAGGGGGAACATTTTCACGCAGAGGATGGTGTGTGTATGCATTGAGCTGCCAGAAGAAGTGGGGGAGGCTGGTACAATTATAACATTTAAAAGGCATCTGGATGGGTATATGAATAGGAAGGATTTAGAGGGATATGGACCAAATGCTGGCAAATGTGATTAGATTTATATAAGATATCTGGTCGGCATGGACAAGTTGGACTGAAGGGTCATTACCATGCTGTATATCTCTATGACTCTGCAATGTCCTGTTTTGGAGAGAGAGTGTTTTTACAGCAGATTGGGATATATCTTAATAGTTAAATGCAATTTCCACTGGATGTGAAAATTGTGCCCTGACAAGTTGAATTCAGATCAAAAGCCAAGAGACAATAAATGCTAAAACTAATGGCCAAATTTTTCTGGCTGTTGAATTGGAAAAGTCCAAGAGATATGCAGAACAAGAAGTAGACAAGGTAGCAAGAGCAAAGAATTAGTAAGAACAAAAGGGGCTAGAGCTAGAATTTCAATGGGTCACTTAGGAAACACATGGGAGGGAAAGAGAAAGAACATTTCAAAGGTTTAAAAAGAGGGAAGAGGTAGAGAGAGGGAGAAAAGACATTTCAATTTTAAAAAGTATGAATAATGAAGGAAAGATTCTGAGGAATTTTTGAGATGGCAGCAGAATAGCAGCGCAACACGAAGGTTTCTTAGCCCAGGAGCAGAGAACTCATCTACTCCAGCTGTGTTACTTTCTTTTTGTACAAAAAAGTGTTTCCATTTATAATGGTACCTTACTTTCTTTTAACAACTTCAGCAGAAGGCGTCTTCTGGCCCAGGACCAGCAACGAGGTGGCTTCCAACAGCCCATAATGGCAGTATAGGCCGAGAGCTGGGCAGGGTGGTCTCCCAGTGTGGCAGTCTTGTCCAGAAGGGTTGGTTGTGGTCTCGTGTGGCGTTCTTGCCCCAGCATGGAGGTCTGCTTCAGTGGTTTCCAGGTCTTCCAACAGCCCAGCTTGGAGGTCTCCTCTCAGCGTGGTGTGGTGAATTCAGCCCAGTTTTCCAGCGTAACCAGGAGTTGTTAATTTAACTGTGCCAAACTTTTACTTTTTAAAAATTATTTATGACTTCTGTCACTAATTTAGGCACAGTGGTTTGGTGACTTATAAAACTTTTCACATTTTTTTGTAAAAATACACTTGACAATAAATTGCTATTATATTCTATGAACTTAGCAAAGGTGCTAATCCAGACTTGTTTAAAATTGCCCCTACATTCCCAAAATTTGAAGAAAGGGATGTTGAGGTTTTTCTTAAATTACATAACAAATAATTAGCAGAAAGCCAGACTCTGCTCATGCAGAGCAAGATGAAGCTCACAAAATTTATGCCACGTTTTGACTAGTTTACAGGATAGCCAAAAAGACTACTCTCACTGCTTATGAGTTGCCCCTGAGGTTTAGACATAGAAAATTTGAAACCTCTTGAAGCAGCCGGATTAGAGGTACAAACCACTTGAGAAAGTAAAACAACATAACTTTCACTGGTTGGAGATAGCAAGAACTGCAGATGCTGGAGTGAGTCAATACAGTGTGGAGCTGGAGGAACACAGCAGCTCAAAGAGCAGCTTTGAAATAGATGTTGGTGCTAAGACAGTTACCAGAGATGGAGACAAAGAGGTCCAGGAAGGGGAAGGAGATGTCGGCGATGGTCCGGGTGAATTTGAGGTTGTGATGAAAGGTGTTAGTAAAGTTGACGAACTGTTCAAGCTCCTCTACATCAGTGACATCAAGTCCAGACTCAGTGAATGATTTGTGGAACATCTGCGCTCCATATGCAATAATCATCAACATCTTCTGGTTGCTAACCATTTTAACTCCCCCTCCCACTCCCTGGGCTACATGTCCATCCTGGGCCTTCTCCAGTGTCACAATAACACCTCACGCAAACTGGAGGAACAACACCTCATATTCCACGTTGGGAGCTTACAGCCTGATAGCCTTAACATAGAATTCACCAGTTTTAAAATCTCCCCACCCCTGGCCTTATCCCATATGTAACCCTCCCTCTCATCCCCATCTCCTTGACCTGACACAACCTATCAATTTCTTTCCCACCTATCCGCCCCACCCTTCCCACTGACCAATCCCTACTATCCCCCTACCTGCATCCACCTATCACCATCCCACCTACCTTCCCCCAGCTCCCATCCCCCTCCCCAGTACTGAGGAAGGGTGTAAACCTGGGACGTCAACTTTCTTGCTCCTCTGATAGATTTCACATTGGATGGTGTCACTTAAAGTTGACAGCATATGTAAGAAACTCAGGGAAATAACTGTTTTTGAAATTATTATTCAAAATTATTACTAATTGTGAAGATGTTACAATTACTGTTTATAGTTACAAAATGACTTGGTAACCAGAGTTGTCACCATGGGAATTAGAGTCATAAAGTTATGCAACATGGAAACTATCTCTGATACAACATGGAAACAGGCCCTTCGGCCCAATTCGTCCATGCCAACCAGGTTTCCTAAGCTAAACTGTTTCCATTTGCCTGCATTTGGCCCAAACACAATTTTCCAAGCACAAAGCCTTGCTGACTGGCCCTAATTAGTTCTCATCTTTCCAAATACATGTAGATTCTTTCTCTCTCCAACAACTTACCGAATATTGATGTATTTAATATACTTGTAGAATATCTTTGCATTCTCTTTAACCTTATCTGCCAAAGCTATCTCATGTTCCCTTTTTGCCCACCCAATTTTCCTCTTAAGTGTAGTGCTGCACTACCTATACTCCTCAAGGGATTCGATTGATCCCAGCTGTTTTCACCTGATATATGCCCCTTTCTTTTCCTTGTTCAGAGCCATAATTTCTGTAGTCATCTAGGGCTCCCTACTCCTGCCAGCCTTGCCCTTCTCTCTACCAGGAACATGCTGATGCAAAACTCTTGTTACCTTGCTTTTGAAAGCCTCCCACTTGCCAGACGTCCCTGTAGCTTCAAACAGCCTCCCCCAACCTACTTTTGAAAAGTTCTTGTCTAATACCATCAAAATTGGCCTTGCCCTAATTTAGAACTTTAACCAGTGGACCATACCTATCCTTTTCCATAACTATTTTAAAACAAAAAGAATTATGGTCACTGATCCTAAAGTGCTTCCCCACTGACATCTCAGTCACTTGCCTCTGCCTTATTTCCTAAG